GATCTGAAAATGTCTTAGTTTCACTGTATTTTTTAAAATATATTCTTGCTGATTATAAAATTTTATGTTTGCTTCTTTCAATCTTTTTAAAATGTTGCTATATTATCATTTCACTTGTATTGTTTCCAGTGAGAAACCTGATTTCACCCTTTCCTTTGTGCCTCTAAATTTAATTACTTTTTTTTTCACTGCCAGTTTAAGATATTTTGTTTACCATTGGTTTTAAGCAATTTGATTATGATGTACTTTGATGTTTCCTTCATGTTTCATGTGCTTATAGTTCACTAAACTTCTGGATCCATGGGCTTAAAGCTTTTATCAAGTTTGGAAAGTATTTACTTTTTCCTTCCCATCCCCTTCTTCAAGGACTCCAGATAGTTGTACATTAAGCTACTTCAAGTTGTATAGTTTTGGACTTCTATTCTCTATGTTCACATTTTGAATAGTTTCTATAGCTAATGCCTTCAAGTCCATTAATTCATTAGTTAATCCTTTCTTCTGCAGTATCTAACCTGTCATTCATGCCATCCAGTGTATTCTTCATTTCAAATATAGTTAGTTCATTCTCAAGAAGTTCAGTATGAATTTTTGCTATCTTCCTTATCTCTATTCAACTTCTGAACAGATGGAATGTAGTTATAAAAACTGAGAAAAATATTTTCTCCTAATTCTCACATGAGAAACTAGTTATCTTTTTAAGCCATACAAAGATGTCTAAAAATGTAAAATAAGTTTTCCGATCAAATATTATTTTGTTTTAGAAAAAGTTACTATTCATAGAAATGTAATTTATGTTAATATGCAATTAGTTTATAAGTAAATTAATTTTTTAAATGTTTTCATTTCTAATTCATAAAATATCAATAGATATAACTCACATTGAAAAAAAAAACAGTTCTTGCTCAAATCAACTGCTTACTCCCCTCAGTGTTGGTTATGTATTCCTGCCTCTTTGCATGCCAATTAATCTTTGAATGAATAACAGATAATGTAACCTTAGCTTTGTTGGGTGTTGGATATTTTTGTAATCTTTTTATTTTTTCTGTTTTATTTATTTATTTTACTTTACAATATTGTATTGGTTTTGCCATACATTGACATGAATCTGCCATGGGTGTACATGTGTTCCCCATCCTGAACCCCCCTTCCACCTCCCTCCCCATCCCATCCCTTTGGGTCATCCCAGGGCACAAGCCCTGAACACCCTGTATCATGCATCAAACCTGAACTGGCCATTCATTTCACATGTGATAATATACATGTTTCAAAGCCATTCTCCCATATCATCCCTCCCTCGCCGTCTCCCACATGGTCCAAAAGACTGTTCTACACATCTGTGTCTCTTTTGCTGTTTCGCATACAGGGTTATCGTTCCATCTTTCCAAATTCCATATATATGCGTTAGTATACTGTATTGGTGTTTTTCTTTCTGGCTTACCTCACTCTGTATAATAGGCTCCAGTTTCATCCACCTCATTAGAACTAATTCAAATATATTCCTTTTAATGACTGAGTAATATTCCATGGTGTATATGTACCACAGCTTCCTTATCCATTCATCTGCTGATGGACATCTAGGTTGCTTCCATGTCCTGGCTACTATAAACAGTACTGCAATGAACATTGGGGTACACGTGTCTGTTTCAATTCTGGTTTCCTCAGTGTGTATGCCCAACAGTGGGATTGCCAGGTCATATGGCAGTTCTATTTCCAGTTTTTTAAGGAATCTCCACACTGTTCTCCATAGTGGCTGTACTAGTTTGCATTCCCACCAACAGTGTAAGAGGGTTCCCTTTTCTCCACACCCTCTCCAGCATTTATTGCTTGTAGACTTTTGGATAGCAGCCATCCTGACTGGCGTGTAATGGTACCTCATTGTGGTTTTGATTTGCATTTCTCTGATAATGAGTGATGTTGAGCATCTTTTCATGTGTTTGTTAGCCATCTGTATGTCTTCCTTGGAGAAATGTCTGTTTAGTTCTTTGGCCCATTTTTTGATTGGGTCATTTATTTTTCTGGAGTTGAGCTGGAGGAGTTGCTTGTATATTTTTGAGATTAATCCTTTGTCTGTTGCTTCGTTTGCTATTATTTTCTCCCAATCTGAGGGCTGTCTTTTCACCTTGCTTATAGTTTCCTTTGTTGTGCAAAAGCTTTTAAGTTTCATTAGGTCCCATTTGTTTATTTTTGCTTTTATTTCTAAAATTCTGGGATGTGGGTCATAGAGGATCCTGCTGTGATTTATGTCGGAGAGTGTTTTGCCTATGTTCTCCTCTAGGAGTTTTATAGTTTCTGGTCTTACATTTAGATCTTTAATCCATTTTGAGTTTATTTTTGTGTATGGTGTTAGAAAGTGTTCTAGTTTCATTCTTTTACAGGTGGTTGACCAGTTTTCCCAGCACCACTTGTTAAAGAGGTTGTCTTTTTTCCATTGTATATCCTTGCCTCCTTTGTCGAAGATAAGGTGACCATAGGTTCGTGGATTTATCTCTGGGCTTTCTATTCTGTTCCATTGATCTATATTTCTGTCTTTGTGCCAGTACCATACTGTCTTGATGACTGTGGCTTTGTAGTATAGTCTGAAGTCAGGCAGGTTGATTCCTCCAGTTCCATTCTTCTTTCTCAAGATTACTTTGGCTATTCGAGGTTTTTTGTATTTCCATACAAATTGTGAAATTATTTGTTCTAGTTCTGTGAAAAATACCGTTGGTAGTTTGATAGGGATTGCATTGAATCTATAGATTGCTTTGGGTAGTATAGCCATTTTGACAATATTGATTCTTCCAATCCATGAACACGGTATATTTCTCCATCTGTTTGTGTCTTCTTTGATTTCTTTCATCAGTGTTTTATAGTTTTCTATGTATAGGTCTTTTGTTTCTTTAGGTAGATATATTCCTAAGTATTTTATTCTTTTTGTTGCAATGGTGAATGGAATTGTTTCCTTAATTTCTCTGTTTTCTCATTGTTAGAATATAGGAATGCAAGGAATTTCTGCTGTCTACTTTTGTAATCTTATGAGTTTTCTTGAGCTCTGCTCTAGACTACTGTTCGGTTACCTGGAAACAATTCGATTCTTTCGGTCTTGCTTTTATTTGTTAGATAGGTCTGGAGTAATGTCCATTTTAGGACTGTTCTCCACTAGGGAGGCAAAAATTTCCTGTGTAGTTCATTCAGTGCCCCATGGATTAGAAGTTACCACTACAGTGATGGGAACAACACAATTACTGGCCCTGTACCAGGCACCAGGCACCACTCCCTCTAAACCTTCCCAGATGGTCCTTCCCCCAACCTGTTAGGTTTCTTTACATGCATGCCCTACTCAATACTCTGCAGAATATTTGAAGAATGTGTGTCAGTCACTGAGTTGTGTCTGACCCGTTGCAACCCCATGGACTGTAGCCCGCCCAGCTCCTCTGTCCATGGGATTCTCCAGGCAAGAATACTGGAGTGGGTTGCCATGCCCTTTTCATATTTGAAGAGAACGCCTTCCAAACCTCTGAAATTCTTTGTACAGATCTCTCTTCTGGTGTTCTGTCCACTGCACTCTAGGTGTGCTGGTCTTCCTGGACACTCAGCATTGTCTCCTCAACTCAAGGAGTTAGCCAGACTGTTGCATTTCTGCCTCCATGTGTTATGGCCTGAAAACTCTCTCAAGGTTAAGTGAGGCAATCACAGATCTGATTTATTTCCTGTCTCTCAGGCATTGCTTTCATTTGTTGCCTCAGGTCTGGCGTCTAGGAAATGTTTTCCTTTTTGGTTGTTATAGAAAAAAGGATTATCCCTATTATGCCATAACTGGAAACACGTATCTCAAATCAAACCAACAGATTATGGTGTAACAAAGTGAAATAAAATTCACTGATATGGTTCCAGATTTCATGCTACAAATTACATTTAACAAACAAGCACTTGTTCAATTTTGGGGTAATATCAAAGATGATTCACAATTATCTAAAATTGCTTTTTAAAGTGTTACTCCCTAAAAAAAAGTAGATTAGGACTGCCAGGAACTGGGTGGGAGTGGGAAGTGACTGCTAATAAGTACAGTGTTGCTTTGTGGGGTGATGAAAATGTTCTGTAGAATGCCCTGGCAGCAGTGGTTAAGATTTTGTGCTTCCAGTGTGGGAGCACAGGTTTGCTCCCTTGTTGCGAAACTAAGATTCCACATGCCATGAGGCATGGCCAAAAAATTTTAAAAAGAAAAAAAAAAAGGTCTGAAATTAGATACAGTGATAGCTGTGGAACTCAATGAATATACTAAAATCTACTGAATTCTACACTTATTTATAAGATGAATTTTATGGTAAGGTTCCCTGGTGGTTCAGATGGCAGGAAGATCCCCTGGAGAAGGGCATGGCTACCCACTCCAATCTTGCCTGGACAGAGGAGCCTACAGGGCTACAGTGCATGGGTCATGAAGAGCTGGACCCGAGTGCACAAAGAACACTTTCACTTTCATGTGGGGTGTGAACTGTAGATCACTGTAAAAAGCTTTTTCCAACTACATATGAAATTCAAAATCCATTAGGGCAGATTTTGTATATATACTTCAACCCAAACAACTTATTACAGTAAATTGAAAAGCCATACATTACGAAGTGTTTTACAATAAGTTTTCTCACCAAGTATTATTTTGCTTTAGAAAAAGTTATTCTTCAAGAAAATGTTACATATGCTAATATGTAACAGGCTTATTATTAAAGTAAATTAACAAAAATTTCAAAGTTTTTGTTTTAATTTCTAATTCAGAAAATATCAACAGATAAAACCATATAAAGAAAAATTCTTTGGATTTCCCAATAAAATTTAAGAGTATAGAGTACTGATGCCATATAATTTGAGAACTGACAGTCTATGCCAACATACTATGCCAGAGATTCCATACTGGTATAATATCGTAACAGACATAAAATATAGTATTTAACAAAAGCAGTTAATGAAAAATGCTAAAAAGGTATGTAAACCCACACTAAAGTTTGTTACTTAAGTGCATGTCTTACTTGGAAGTTTCTGGCAAGCCAGCTGAAAGTTCCAGAAACACAGATAAGTAGTAACCACGAACAACTCCATTTCCATCCTCAAAAAAAAAAAAGAAAAAGATGTTATATACACAGAAACTCCAGTCAATTTAAATGTAAAAATGTAAGCTACAATGAAACAAACAAAATATAGGACAGTATCTGATATTTGGATTGAGAAGTAGTTTTAAGTTTAAAAGCAGTAAGAGAGCTGATAAAAAGACCAAGAGTCTACAAACTTTTTTTTCTACATAAAGATAGAAGCATAAAAGCATACAAAGGAAAATATCAACTACTCTGAAAAGAGTTAGGAGTTTCAACATATACAGAACTCTTAAAAAATGAGCCTCCAAGAAAAATAAAAACCCCAAAGAAATATACCAAAAAAATGAAAAGTCTCAACTTCACTAGGAAGTTGAGGAAGGAGACAAAAAAACAAAGGAGATAATATTTAAGATTAAAAAGGAGTAAAATAGAAAAAGGTTAACACTTGATGTTGAAAGTAATTAAATATAATTTCTATGTTTCATACGTCAGGATTCCATATAAGATTCTCTCTGGAGATTTAAAGTTTCTCATATTTCTATTACAGAGATTTTATAAATAAAATTATTCCCTTCTGTATTTCTCAAGGACTGGGTGAGATCACATTTGTTAAAACTACATGTATAAGCACATTTGCCCAACCAGACTGTGAGGGCTGAGGGCAGGAATATATCTACAGAAGCATACAGCTACTTCTGAACCCCTTCATTTCTAGGCTACTTGCTCTCAAAGGTCGTGATGCAGCATTCAGGGTTTGACATGATAATCATTCAGTAAATACAACACTACAGAAAGATGAATAATCACTTAAGGGAAAGGTTATCTCCACAACCCCCAAAACATAAGCAGATAAAGACAGACCAACTATAATCACAAAGACCTGCCTTGTATCAACACTGTAGGAGAAAGGAGAGAGAAGCAGTGGGACATCTAATGGACCAGAAAAAAGGAAAACCACAAAATGGTCAAGAGTTAGTCACTGAAAAGCATCATAAGCCTCTGGACACTAGAAACTGCAAAAAACTTGCTCAATATAATACCAATTGAGTATAAAAACTAAATGCACTCTAGTCACTCTAAACTCTTAAAAACGAGTATCCAGGGTCTTTTAGGACAGGTCCAAAGATTACAAAGGAACTGCTAAGAGGAAAATAAAAGATAAACAGCACAGAAATAATACAAGCAAATGAAGAAAAAGGTACAGGTTACAAGGAGAGAAGAACCAGGAAATCTCTCAGAAAGCAAAGCACCAGATTTCTCACTGACATATCACACTGGTTATACACATGCAAAAGAATGAAGCTAGACCCCTCCATCATACAAAAATTAACTCAAAATATATTAAAGATCTAAATGTAAGTCTTAAAAGTTATAAAAGTCCAAGAGGAAAATCTAAGCAAAAAGCTCCATGACAATGGAGTTGGTAAGAATTTCCTAGATATGAAACCAAAAGCCAAAACAGACAAACTGGACTACAACAAAATTTAAAATTTCTGTCCATCAAAGGTCATGACCAACAGAGCAAAAAGAAATCTTAAAAATGAGAAAACATATGTACATCATATATCTGTAAGGGGTCAATATCCAGAATATGGAGGCTTCCCTGGTGGCTCAGACAGTAAAGACTCTGCCTGCAATTCAGGAGACCTGGGTTTGATTTCGAGATCAAGAAGATTGCCCAGAGAAGGGAATGACTACCACTCTATCACTCCTGCCTGGGAAATTCCATGGACAGAGGAGCCTGGTGGGCTACAGCCCACCGGGTTGTAAAGAGTCAGACTTGATTGAGCAACTAACACTTTCACATCCAGAATATATAAACTGCTACAACTCTAAAACAACAAAAAACTTCATTAAAAAATCAGCAAAGGACTTGAATCCACACTTCTCTAAAAGGGATATACAAATGTCCAATAAGCACATGAAAAAATGCTCAAAAACACCACTAGGGTACATAAATAAAAACCACAATGAATTTACCTCATACCCATTAGTATTGGTTATTACCAAAGAAACAGAAAACAAAAAGTGCTGACAAAGACAAGGAAAAATCTGAACCCTTGTGCACTGCTGATCAGAATGTAAAATGGTGCGACTACTGTAGAAAACAGCATAGTTCCTTAAGAAACGAAAAACAGAACCACCATGTGATACAGCAATACCATTTCTGGGTATATATCCAAAAGAATCAAAAAGCAGGATACTGAAGAGACATTTATACACCTATGTTCAAAACAGCATTAGTCACTAAAGACAAAAGACAAAAGCAAGTCAGATGTCCACTGATAGACTGATAAATAAAATGTGGTATATACATACAACAGAATATTACTCAGCCTGAAAAGGGAAGGGAATTCTGATATAAGCTATGAATAGGAGGAATCTTAAGAACACATGCTAAGTGAAAGAAGTCAGTAACAAGAAGATGTTACTATGATAAGATTCCACATATGTGAGGTATCTAGAGCAGTCAAATTCATAGAAAGAAAAAGCAGAGTGATGGTTGCCAGGATCTGAGGAGAAGGGGAAATAGGGAATTCCTGTTTAACTGGCAGAGCAGTTCAGTTTTGCAGGCTGAAAAAATTCTGGAAGTTAGTTAAACAACAATGTAAATATACTTAACAATACTAAATGTACACTTAGAAACAGTTAAAATGGTAAATTTTATGTTATGCATTATTTACCAAAATGAAAGAGAAAATAAAGGGTAAAATAACATTCCTACAGACAATGAAAGCACCCTAGAAAAACAAACTCAAAGGTCAAAATTGTAACCTATTTCAAAATAACCTAAAAGACTATTAAGAAAATACTATGACAGCCTTCAGAAAGAAAAGAAAAGCTGAGAAAATATGATATGAAAGAATAACACAAATCAGTATTAGAAAAACTCAAATATCAAGTAACAGAACTAAGGGAAGAATTAGAAATAAAAGGAAGTTATTTAAGAAATAAAGACTGAACTAAAAGAACATAGAAGCAAATAAACACAACAGCTGATATCTTTAAAAAAAATAAGTAAACGAGGAAAAATTTCAAAGTTAAAAAGAAATGAAGAGCTAAAAATATTAGAAAGTGGTAAGTACTGAAGACAAAGGCAAAGAAGATTCAAAATGCAGATAATAACAGTCCCAAGAGAGAAAACAAAAGGTAGAAACAAAGGAGATATTTAAAACTGTAATTCAGGAAATATTTTCTTTAAGAAATCTAAAACTATATATTGAAAGAGCCCAGCATGTAACTTGAGAATGAGGTGAAGAAGTGAAGTGAGTCGCTCAGTCATGTCCGACTCTTTGCGACCCTGTGGACTGTAGCCCACCAGGCTCCTCCGTTCATGGGATTCTCCAGGCAAGAATACTGGAGTGGGTTGCCATTTCCTTCTCCAGGGGATCTTCCTGACCCAGGGGTCGAACCTGGGTCTCCCACATTGGAGGCAGACGCTTTAACCTCTGAGCCACCAGGGAAGCCCAACTTGAGAATACGGGCCCAAAAAACCCAACACATACAGTAGTAAATTAGTGGATTTAAAAAGAACTGGAACTCCACTCAATGCTCTGAGCTGTCTTAAAAGAGGAGGAAGTCTAAAGAGGGGATACATGTATAAGGACCCACTCTGCTGCACAGCAGAAGCTAACACAACACTGTAAAGCAACCACCTTCCAATAAATAAATAAGGCACAGGCACTGTGGGAAAAATAACTAAATTATTTGGGCATCTAAACAATATTAGCAAAGGATTTCTAAGGATTAGTTCATCAGACTTTACCAAAACAAAATGGAATCGAATATTTAAGATATCCAAGGACAGAAAACATGAGCCAAGGATTTTGCATCTAGCAATACTGGCTTTAGAGTATAAAGGATATAAATCATTTTCAACACACAGAAATTCAGGAAATATGGTTTCCATTAACCTTTCCAGTAGAATTTACTAGAAAACAAGCTCTGAGCCCTCACAGCTGTTGAGACACAGCAGAGGGAAATGAGAGTACATGCAAAGTAATTTTTAAACATTTCTCAGTAACTGATGGTAGAATTTCTCAAATTGATGGTAGAATTGAGTTCCCCTCCTGAAATTCTTTTTATAGAGCAAATGAATGATTCATTATGATATATTACAATTCTCTTATTTCCTATGGCTTCAAAAAGTATGTTCCCAGAGTAGAAGAAATGAGTTATAAGTATAATATAAAGAAGTTTAAAAAATTCTACAATTGTGAATTTGAATTATAAGTGTTAGTGTGATCTCATGAGTTATTTTATTTTTAAAAAAATACATACAGGGACTTCCATGGTGGTCCAGTGGCTGGGAATCTGCCAGTCAATGCAGGGGACATGGGTTCAATCCCTGATCTAGGAAGATGCCACATGATGAGAAGCAACTAGGTCCAACTGCCACAACTACTAAGCCCATGCTCTAGAGCCCAGGTATCACAACTACTGAAACCCATGAGCACCTAGAGCCTGTGCTTCCTACAAGAAAAGCCATCACAATGTGAAGCTCATGAACTGCAATGAAGAGAAGTCCCTGCTCGAAGCAACTAGAAAAACCATGCACAGCAATGAAGACGAAGAAAGCTCAGCCAAAAATAAGTAAAATTAAAAAAAAAAAAAAACCACTACATATATACATGTGTCAACAACCCCCCAAAAAACAGGGAGAACAAGATGGTGGAGTAGGTGGACATGGAGAACATCTCTCCATGGATGCATCAGGAATATACCTTCAGACACAGAGGTGCATACAGAACACCAGCTGAGAGCAAACAGGAGTACCTGACCAGCGGAAAAGAATATATAGAATCACACAAAACTCAGCAGGATGAAGGAACTACGGGGAAAAACAGTAGTGTTACTAGGACTGGGTTTGCTCTGGGCAGGTTGGGGAACTGAAGCAGGTGTCCGATCCCCACATCGGGGTAACTGTCTGAGTCAGAGAAGAAACATTTAAGGCTGAAAGTGAAACAGCTAATCTGCGGCAGCCTAAATGGAATGAGAATCAGACAGTCCTTGT